CAACTAATCCACCCAAAGCTGGAGTACCAGTTGCTTTTGGCTAAGAAAGTGCAGTTAATTGATGCTTTAAAAGTAAGTATGTGTCATGGACTCATGAGCATTATTCTAAGTAATGGAATTTCTAAAAGCATGAATACTTTAATGTTACTCTTGATTTAATTTTGAATGTTAAGGTTTTTCTGTTTTTAATTTAAATAAGGAATTGCAGGTTCAGGAGGGAAGTACAGACTTTCTCATACCAGAATATCGCTGTATTCTAGAAGAGGCAGATCACCTGCAGGAAGAATACAAAAAGCAACCTGCGCATCTTGAAAGACTCTATGGTTAGTGGACTGTTCTAGAATATCTTGCTGTATTTCTTTTCAAGTGGCTGTTTGCCAAAGATCATGTGAGAGAAGCTGGCTTGTAAAGAGACAAAGATTTCAGCATTCACAAACGAGTGACATCCAGTTCATTGCACAAAACATTTCTGTATTTTGTCAAATTAGTCTTTTATTTTTTGTAGCAACAGAGTGTCGCTATGTTGCCCAGGTTAGTCTGGAACTCCTGGTCTCAAGCAATCCTGCCACCTTTGGTCTCCCAAAGTGCTGGCATTATAGGCGTGTACCACTTCACCTGACCTATGAAACTAGTGTTAATATTTAATAGTTTTACTTGATAAAGTAAGTATACTGTGAAGAATTAATCTGTATCTATGAAGAAGCCTGATGTAAAATGAATATAACTCATAAAGCATTAGAATTTAGGCTACATTTCACATGAATAGTTTTCAGATTTTGTTGATATTGTTAAATATAAAAATGCAACATAGCTGGGCTCGGTGGCTCAGCCTGTAATCCTGCGCTTTGGGAGGCTGAGATGAGTGGATTGCCTGAGCCCACGAGTTGAGACCCGCCTGGGCAACTTGGCGAGACCTCATCTCTACAATAAATACAGGTAGCGCACACCTGTAGTTCTAGCTGCTTGGAAGGCTGAGGCGGAAGGATTGTCAGAGCCCAGCAGGTCGAGGCTGCGGTGGACGATATTTTCTTTTATACCTACTTTATTAAGGTGAATTATTGTGTGTC